GTTTTGTTTATGGTATATATGCGATCGTATGCTAATTTAGTACACCCACAAATTCTGGGTGTTTGGTGGTCATGTGACCGGCCGATGCCTTGAAGATGCTAGGGCTTTTTCCCGCCCTACCTCCGATGCCAGGAAAAGGCACCCCGGGGACGAGGTTGGTTTGTAGCTTCTTGCCGATCGCAAACATGTAGGTTCAGTAATACCAAAGCATTACCCACACCGAGGTCACCTTGATTTTATTCCCACGGTCAGCTAACCTAAATATGCCCAGCTTTGGCTATAAAAACCGCTACTATACTTGAACTTGTTAGTTTCGTTAGTAAGGATGAGTAGAGCAGAAAGAGTAAGAAGATTAAGATTAAGATTATCACCAGACGGCAAAGAAGAATAGAACCAAGATGTAAATCAGATTCCTGGTACCTCATCGTGTAGCGAGCGAGGTGTGCTCGAACACACCGCCACAAAAGCTTGTCCTGCTTTTTGTTTTTGTTTCTGATGGAAGAAGAATTGGCTTACAACTCCTCTTTTACAGCAATAAATTAAAATTTACTATGATAATTATAGCGCGAAACAGCGGCTATTTTTGTGTATTATTTCAATTGAGGACGTATGTCGAAAGATAGTGACCTGAGACTCAAATTACTCACACTCGGGGTAGGAGACAGTCTCTCTTGCTCTCGCTGACATCAATACCCGAGAAAGAAAACAACGGGAGCAAGAGACTGTCTCCCACCCCGAGTGTGAGTAATTTGAGTCTCAGGTCGTGTCGCTATCGTTCAACGGTAACGCGGAGTTCCGAGCGAGTCTATCTTTTTGTCGAGGGTCGAGGGTCGAGGGTTCCATGTCGAGGGCGAGGGTACCAAGTCGAGTGCGAGGGTAACATTTTTTTTTCCAAATTTTTTTTTTTGAAGAAGGTAATAATCGATGCAATCAATGTCATTAAAACAAATAAGAAGAATTTAAAAAACAAATGGCGCGTGAACATTTCTAGTTGTTCGGTGGAGGGGGAGGGGAGGTTTTGGGGGGGGGGGGTGGAATAGAGAAAAGCTCCGGGACATCCCACTTTGTTTTCGAACAGAACAGAACAGAACACGTTACTTGAAAACACTGATTTTAAAAAAAATGTTGTAAACAAAATTTAAAATGTCGTAAAACAAGAATGAGTGCGTTGAATTATGAATTTCTGGTCCAACCAACAACAATGGAAGGAAAAAACTCTTATTGCGTTGTAAAATGTGTCCTAATATGTGTCATAAAAGAACAATGCAATCGTTGGAGTCTATCTTTTTGCAGCTCGCATGGAAATCGCCACCCACTAACGCAGAGGTTTAAAATAGAATAACTCCTGGTAGCGACTTTCGGTGAGGTGAACATCGGCATTTGCCGACGCTTTCCCATTAAAATACAATATATCTTTCTAGGCCACAATCGGTCATATCAGGAGCCCATCAAATGATGGGCTCCTGGTCATATATATTTGTGAACATGGACGTGGTGGACGTGAATAGGAAAAAAAAATCAGACGTACGGTCCATGTCTCCCATTGATCCAATTAATTGTTTTACATTTGCCACATTTCTACTAAAGATCTGTTGTTTTGCCAAGTTGGACACAAGTTTTTTATTCCCGAAAAAAAAATCGACTGTGTTGCAAATTCTGTTTAACTGTTTGAAATGTTACAATGTCTCACAAGGCCATTCCTTGACAATTTTTCGGTCGGTCGGGCAAGAAAAAATGGCATTGGGTTTGTGGAGTGATTTTTGGTTCTGTTTTGAGGATATTTTCCCTGGTATTTCAATTCAAGCTTTCTCTGTGATCTATTTTTCCGTGGTTTCCGATGCAAATTTACTACTTTTAACATCATGCAAGAAACTGGACAGTGTATTCCAAGTCTGTCGTTTATGGAATTTTTTTTTTCTTTAAATATTCATATAGTGTACACTCTTTTTTTCTTTTTTTGAAAGTTCGCATAATCGGTCTGATTCGATCTGATCGCTGTTCGTGAATAAAAGCTCCCCCTTTCGTGCAAAATAGGAAATTATCGCTGAAGCCGTTGTGAAGAAAGTCTTTGCGCAGACACCTCTAATTTCTGTTTGAAATGCACACTAGGGATAAAGATGTGTACAAAATTAGTTTCGCCACATGACTTCCTATTGTCCCAGTGCCGCCATCAACTGCGCCGATAAGTGTTGGTTTTACGTTCCTTTTGTGTTTCAGGGTGTTTCAAATTTCTGCAGTGATACACTTTTCAAGTTGCAGAACATAACGTTGGTAATTAAAGGAGTTTATTATTGCGGCGCGACTCGGGCGATAGCATCAACCATCTAAATTATCACTCTAGCTACGCACCTACGTACCTAGGTCACGATTTCCGGTGTCGGTGATTATCGATGACTTGTATTTTAAAATTTCATGGCGAGTTTCTACTTCATTGAAAGCACGACAATTCGGTCGCATACAGTGGGATGGCTTAAAAAACAAGAATTGGTGAAATATCCATATTCAAACTACCCCACTGAACAGCCAAGCAAGGCAGAGAAGAGGCAGACGTGACTGAAATATAAGCCGCGAAGCAGGGGTAACCAACGCACGGACTAAAGAAAATCGCTTAGTTATTCAGATCCAGAAGGCACTTTGGAGAAAATTGGAACCCTTATTCAGCCGTAATAAAAAAGCTTCACGCGTCAAAAAAGGTCAAAGAAATTGCGCTTGCATCAGAGGGCAAATCCTACCGACCAGAAAACAATAACTACAGTCAACCGATATATATGTCATGACCTCTCAGTGTGAAACATGCGGCTAAAATCACATTTGCCCAGTATAAATGCAGAACCTTCCAGAGCATAATCTACCCAGCAGATAAAAACAACTCTATTGTAATAAGCAGCATTTTGGCATGAGGAGAAAGTCGTGTAGGCCTACCACCCCCTTTTGTTGTTATAAATGTAATTCTTCGAAAACAAATTGGGATGTCCTGGAGCTTTTCTCTATTCCACCCCCTCCCCCCTCCACCCAACAACTAGAAGATGTTCACGCGCCATTTGTTTTTTAAATTCTTCTTATTTGTTTTAATGACATTGATTGCATCGATTATTACCTTTTCCAAAAAAAAAAAATTTGGAAAAAAAAACTGTTACCCTCGACCCTCGACTTGGTACCCTCGCCCTCGACATGGAACCCTCGACCCTCGACCCCCGACAAAAAGATAGACTCGTCTGAAGCCATCGACTTTACCTCGGCTTGAACGAGTCTATCTTTTTGTCGAGGGTCGAGGGTAACATTTTTTTTTCCAGACGGGAAAGGTTGCAAAGATTTGCGTCCTTTGATTCGCTCTTAGACTACAAAACAGTCCGTATTTTTGCGTATTCAAGTACGCGCGAACAGTCAAACAAAAGGTCTGGAATGAGGCTGAAAACAGAGAGCGAGACTGGGGAGACACGCCCGTGAGGCTCGCGCGCACGCCACGCTTTACCGATTTCTTTACTGATTTTGAGAAAAAAAACCGACTGTTTTGCAGTCTAATTCGCTCTCGGTGCAAAGGCGTCTTGAAGCAAGATAACTAATGGAAAGGAAAACTATCGTGTTGTACCTAGGCCGAATTTGGAGGCGATTGGAGCAGTTGGAGCGAATTTACGGCCGTTTTCCTTCGGTGGATCAGTCGGACCGCTTCGCTGGAGTGCTCAGTCTTGGTAAATTAAACCTTTATATAGAGAGAAAACCGTTTACATAAACACCCATAAAACGGCCATAAATCGGCCCATGGACCACACAGGAGAGACGTACGTGTACATGTAACACACATTTTAAGTAAGGTAAGCTGTTCTTCTTATTGAAATCCTTTCATTTTCGTAGGTTACAGAAACGATAGGTTTTTTTCCCATACAAATCCTTATATTTCGAATGTTACGCAACAATGCCGATGTTCGCTATGCTCATATTTCGAGCTTGGGCTACCTACGATTGAAGGTGACTTGACTCTGATATAATCTGTGACATGCAATGCTGGTTTCACATGACGTCATTAAAAATTCAAAGTATAGAATTGTCGATCCTTCTGAGTTTTTACTTTCATGAAATATTGGAACAGCTAAACATTAATATTGAGACAAGTTTTCACTTCCAAAGGGTTTTTTCCTTTTGTGATAGTACGCTTGAATTTCTACTCTTTTGCGTGACGTGACATTTACAAGGCGGCCGAGAGCGGCTGTCATGTTGGTTAAAAAAGTGTGGTGTTGAGAGCGGTATCTTTCCCGTATGGTTTTCCTACTTCCACGATAGCTAGCCGGCAAAGTATTAACATAGCCTCATTTATCTTCCTACATCGCATTCCATCAAAACAGAGTTCCCAATTGAACACACTTCAAGCATTTCTTCATCGCGTCTAATCTTTATTTGTTCCGTAGCTTCCTTAACATACAGTATAGCCTAATGTGGTTTTAAATGTGCTTCTCTGTATGTTTTTGTATGCATTACAGGTGTCTTCTATTTCTTTAACTCTTAGCTACTTAGAAAGTTGACTAACTAATTTTTGCGATATTCCTCTATTAGTAACGATTTAGCGGGATAGCAACATTTTCTCTCTGATGACGTCTGAACAATGAGAGCAGAGCTTTTTTAAATTCAGGCATCCTGATTGTGTATAAAATGGGATTTACAAGGGAGTTTGCATAATACAAAAAACGCAATGATAAAAGCAAACGAACATGTTCTGGAAGAGAAAGGGAATTAAAAATATCAATTGACCAGAAAACAAAAAGATATATATTGTATGGTAACCACACCAGTAAAGATACTAAAGTTGTTATAAACAATGTGTCAGTTAGTTTTCTTTGTCTTTAAGCAGCTGCAAAATGGCGCTGAGGATGAGTTCCGAAACGAAACTTGAACAGAATGGACGTGTAAGAAACAAAGGTAACAATTAAACACAAAAGACAGTAGGATTCCAGTATGTAAAGGTGATATGCAATTAAATAAAGTATCTCTATGAACCAATTAATGACTCAAACAATTACAGGAAAAACCCAGACAACAGTAATTGCTACTACGTAGACCCATCTCTTGATGAGCCGATGCCTAAATGGACGAAAAATGGCGTCAGATCGCTCTAAAGAAATCACAGTAATGTTTGTTAGAGAGACAAAAGGAAAAACATAATAAGAAATCGATAATGAAATTAAAACTTCCACAGGTAATTTCAATTTTATAAGGCCACATTGCAGTAGGAAAACAAATTGAATGCAACCAGCGGATAGGACTCCAACCAACATGTCCGCCACGGTTAAGCTTATAACCAAGTACATGCTGCGAGTGCGAAGGCTTCTGTTCTTTATAAAAAGAATGATGGTAAGGAGATTCACCGTTACTATAACAACAAACTCGGCGGCGAATACGGTAAACCAGATGATACACTCGGATGATGAAAAAACCATCTTAAGTTATTTTCGTCGTTTGTGTTATTGTTTCTTGATTTTCTGTTACCCGTAACAGTTAACCTGTAAGAACAATATATAAACTTTGATCAGTGTAAAGAAAGATCATAATTATTAGACTCTTATTAATTCAAAATATTTATCTGTTTCTGATTGGCTATAATATCACGCACAATTCCTCGCTGAACTTGGAAGAAGTCTGTGATACGTGAAAAAATGACGTCAATTGTGCAGCAAAATTGTCAGATTATTAAACAGTGAAAACTGGAAAAAGACAAAGGACGAGGTTGAGTTGTTTTGGTAATGAGTACAAAATGGCGGAACATCTCACTTGTTTCCCGAGGAAGAAAAAGACGAAATATAACGTCAATCAAGCCAATCATGCCTCAATTTGATTAAGCGCCAAAGTTTCTCAAAACTCAGTTTCAAAAATAAACTGTAGCACTTCAAAAACCGATTTTTTGGCACATATTGGGAACTTAAGTTTGAGGCCGTTTTACACGAAAAGTCAAACACATATTCACCGAATGTTTAATGAAAGAATAACTTCCTGTTGATACATGTTCTTTTTTGTTGTTGTTTGTATGTTGTTTGTTTTGTTTGTTTGTTTGTTTGTTTTTAAACAAAAGCAGACATTCGAAAATGAAAGCGTACGCTGCTGGCACCTACTGTAATGAAGGACTCAATTCATTTTTCGGAAGATGCAGTGCCGGGTTCAAGATTCGTTGCTTGGTAGGCTTAGCCACAACTTTGCCGATGAATAACCAAAAAGCTGCCGACATAAGTTATTATTATTATTATTATTATTATAATTATTGTTATTATTGTTATTATTTTTTTGCGCTTGAAGTTGGTTTTATTCGTATTTTCTTTTTCTTTTTTTTCTTTCTTAACAAAACTTCATTGATTAATAGAACTCAAATTCAATAGTTGAATTGATCGCCCCTTCATCTGCACGTTCTTCCCAGCTAGACATTGTTGTCCGCCATTTTGAAAAATGGATCATGTGATTCCGCTTACCTCATGGACAGGCGCGCAACACCAAGCTGGCATTGGTAATTGGGCCAGTCCTGGAGTCCACACACTCACTCAGTAGTATAAACCAGTTGAATTTAGCTGACCTTTTTTTTCGATAGCTAATAAATGTCGCAAAAAAAGTAAAAAATAATTTAAACCAAAACTTGCCAATAATTTTAAAAGTTGCCGAAAATCGCAAAAAGTGCCCAAAATCTCAAAAGCTGCCGAAAAGTTGCCGAGCAACTTGTGGCTAAGCCTATAGATGGTTTTCACTGTGACGTCATCAAATTGTAAAGTCAAAATAGCGGGGTTTTACGAATTCTTATTTACACTAGGTTGAAGATAAACAAAAAGTGAATCTTTGTACAAGTTTCCATTTCCGTAGCATGTTTCGTTTCGAAAATACAGCAATTTGAACTTCCGAGTTTTCACAGTGCGTGACACCAAAATAGGAATGCTGTCTCGTTGAAAAAAAGTCTCTCCTCTTGATTTTCAGCAATATAACCACTTCAAGTATTAGAAGATATGTTTATGCGTACATACGCTAGTTCTCGAGTGAAAAGGAAGAGCTTTTATAGAAAAAGTAAACTCTAGATGTTTTTGTTGATTTCCGGCGGCCATATTGGTGCACCAAAACGGTGCACCAATATGGCGTCTCCATACAAAGCTCTACAAAGGTGCGTGAAACGTTTCGCCAAATAACTCAGAAACTATGGGCCACAAAGACCTGAGACTTGGACAAATTGTTTATATATTAGTCTTCTATAACATTTCATTTTCTTGGTTTCTTCCACTGCACGGTTTCCAATTTAATTTTTGTTGCGTGACAGTGAAAACGATCTATTGCTTGGACTCTTTCATGATCAACAACCCCTTTCAAAGATATCCCATCATAGATTTTTTGTTAAAAATACAAACGCATGTCAACGTTAATTTATGGCTTCTAATTGTCCTTAAAATTGACAAGGAGAAAATATAAGAAAATGTATCATGAAACTCGCGCACAGCCTTGCGTTTTCTGGTCCTTCTTTTTAGTTTTTAAATAATTCAAAAAGTATCTGCACCAACTATAAGTAAACGATAACTAAAGAACATGTTTGATGAACAGATACATTTATTGTTTTCATGATCAGAGATAAAGGAGTATTAGTAAAAAGACGCCGGGTTTTATTAAGAATAACACCAGGCTGTTTTACGGAATTCATTTGGATTGCCATTTTTCTTTATTATTTGTTTATAGAAGAACAAGCTAAACCTCAAGGTCACGCACAAAAGTAGCCTTTAAGTTTTGTTATGATTGCAATAAGCAAAATTTTCTGACAAGTTTAGACTTCATGGCAGACGTATTTTAAAGGAAATATAACCCTTGTGTTATACGCCTGCTTTTACTCTTTCTCCCTCCCTTTACAGAACCAATTTACTGCTTGTGCCTTCCATTTGAAAAGCTGGATTAGCTAATACGTATTTCCTGTATAAGATCTCTACTAGACATAATTAAGACTAAAATAAAAATCTAACAATCCATCCTCCTCAAAGGACAAAAACTTTTTTGGGGGACTCTCAGGTTCAATGACACTTTGTTTGAACTGAGTCATGAGCTTGTAGTATTAATACAAAGAAATTCCTCAGAAATGAAGTACTGGCCTACCTTATCAGTGAACTGGTCACCTGTTTAGCCCCCGTCTGTTTTTTGTTGTTAGTGGAGGAGACCGCTATCAACTACGGTTGCAGAAACGAGAAGACAAAAACTTGGGGAGAAATCTAAAATAAAGTTTGATAAAGCCGTTAGTCCTTTAAAAAAAATAATAAACTTGTCGCTTGTGTCATTAAACTGTTCACAAAAGCTCAAATTCAGCTGACAAAATTAAAAGCAAGCCGGTTTGTGTGTCTTCCGTGTTCTCTTTAGAATATTAAGAATTTATATTCTCTCTTTACCTAAACAATGCGATGCCAAATCGTATGTAACTTGACATAACATATTCTACTGGAATTATATTTACGTCCTTTCAAAAGGACGCTGGCAGTTTTAAAAAAACAGCAAAACGGAGACTGACCGGTGATATAAACGAGTGGAGCCAGACAAGGTCTAATGTATCCTGACTTGTTTGAGTTTCTTTGTCGATCACAAAGCACTTGCCACTGTTTAATATACTGCCTAAAAAAGATAAATATCGAAGCTTTACTTGTACTTTACTATGTGTAAAGGTGCTTTTTACTAGTTAAGGTTAGTAAGGGTTTATCTTAACCGGTGTTTTTGGGTAGAAAAGAAATTCCTTGTTACTTTTGCGATTTTTGCGAAATTTGAGCCCTTCTCGAGGCCCTTCTTGGCCTGTTTTTTCTCTAAGTCTAGAATTTTGTTAAATTTGTACTCGGTGTTTTTAGGTTTTTCTCGGTGTTTTTCATTTCTTTTGGGCCTTTAATTTTACGAGATTTTCGGGGCCCTTTTTGGCCTTTTTTCTTTCTACGTCGAGAATTTTTTTAAATTGTTTATTCTTGCAACTCTTGTGATATTTGCAAGTGATTGTCTGAAAAATTTTCTGGTGAATCATTTCTTTTGCGACTGAATGGCGAAAAGAATTTGCTGGCCAATTTTTGTTCCCAAGATCGTTCCTGGACATATCTCAACTCTTATGAAACTTCACTTATTCTACTTGAATTAAACTGTTTTTACCTTCTTTAAAAACGACGCTAGCAGTTTTTAAAAACCGCAAAATGAAGACTGGTCAGCGTTATGAACGAGTGGAGCCAGGCGGGGGCTAATATATTCTGACTTGTTTGTGTTTCTTTGTCGATCACAAAGCACTTGCCACCTAAAATGATTGGCATACAGCTGTACTTATTGGTAAATAAAAATTAGACAGTACTTCATTAATATGCATTTTTAGTTATAGTTATTATTATTCTTATTGTTATTATTGTTATCATTATTATTATTTTGTTTAGGTGTAAAGGTGCATGTTACTAGTAAAGGTTAGCAATGGTGGTTAGTGACACGATGCCAGTTATGCTCAAATTTAACAACGAAATGGAAACTGTGCCGGTGTTATGAACGAGTGGAACCAGACACGGGCCAATGTAGTCTTACTTGTTTGTCTTAATTGAGCAACATTTGCGGCTTGCTTTTTAATATACCGGCTAAAAATAATTACTTATTGCACTTTCAAATTAACTGATGCTTTATTAATATGCATTTTAAGTTATAATTTTTACTGTAATTATTTGTTGCGAAAGGAAGCGAAAAGGTGCATAACTACGAAAAAAAACAGGGGGTAATTGGTGATGTAAAAACTCAGTAATATCTTACTACGCGGCCATTTCACACTAAGGCCCTCTTCCCCCAACCTTCACTGTTTTTATAAATGCTTTCCTGGTGAATAACGGCAGTCCCTCCATTAGTCTGCGAGTAAGCTCTCCGGGGCGCTCTGGCGGCGGGGCGGGAAAAGGAAGTAGAGCTTACAACTACGTCTTTGGAATTTGAATTCCGCCTCCAATTTCCCTGTGGCTCCCCGTCGACTGAGCTGTCAGATTTCCGCCAATCAGCGTGAAGTGGAGACCAACGCGAATGTAAACAAACTGACGCGAATATTCGAAAGAGGCAGTTGATGAGGGGTACCTTTCCTGTATGGTTTTCCTGTTTCCGCAATGGCTATCCGGCAAAGTATTAACACAGCCTCATTTATCTTCCTTCTTCGCATTCCACCAAAACAGAGTTCCCAATTAAACACACTTTAAGCATTTCTTCATCACGTCTAATCTTTATTTGCTCCGTACAGCTTCCTTAACATATAGCCTAATTTAGCCTTAAATTTGTTTCTATGTATGTTTTTACCCAAGTGCATTAAGAGTGTCTTCCATTTGTTTAATTTCTAGCTACTTACAGTTTGACTAATTAAATTTTGCGATATATATCTCCATTAGTAACGATTTAACGGGATAACAACATTTTCTCTTTGATGACGTCTGAACAATGAGAGCAGAGCTTTTTTAAATTCAGGCATCCTGATTGTGTATAAAATGGGATTTACAAGGGAGTTTGCATAATACAAAAAAATCAATGAATAAAACAAATGAAAATCTTCTTGCAAAGAAAGGGATTTCAAAATATCACTTGACCAGTCAACTAAAAGATATATATTGTATGGTAGCCACAACAGTAAAGATACTAAAGTTGTTATAAACAATGTGACAGTTAGTTTTCTTTGTCTTAAAGCAGCTGCACAATGGCGCAGAGGATGAGCTCCAAAACGAAACTTAAACAGAATGGACGTGTAAGAAACAAATGTAACTATTAAACACAAAAGACAGTAGGATTCTATTATGTAAAGGTGATATCCAATCAATTGAAGCACCTCTACCCCCCAAATGACTGAAACAATTAGAGGAAAAACCCAGACAACAACAATTGCCACCACGTAGACCAATCTCTTGATCAGCCGATGCCTAAATGGACGAAACGTGGCGTGAAATCGCTCTAAAGAAATAACAGCAATGTTTGTCAGGGAGACAAGAGGAAAGAAAAAATCAAAACTCGATAATGAAACTCCAACCTCCCAAGAAAAATTCAATTTTATAAAGCGACATTCCCGTAGGAGAACAAATTGAACATAACCCCCGAATAGGACTCCAACCAACATATCCGCCACGGTTAAGCTTATAACCAAGTACACGCTGCGAGTGCGAAGGCTTCTGTTCTTTATAAAAAGAAGGATGGCAAGGACATTCACCGTTACTATAGCAACAAACTCGTCGGTGAATACGGTAACCCAGATGATACACTCGGATGATGAAACAACCATGTTGAGTTATTTTCGTCGTTGGTGTTACTCGTAACCGTGAACCTGTAAGAACAATATATGAGCTTTGATCAGTGTAAAGAAAGATCATAATTATTAGACAATTATTAATTTAACTATCTATCCGTTTCTGATTGGCTATTATACCACGCATAATTCATCGCTTAAATTGGAAGAAGTTTGCGATATTTGAATAAACCAGTTGAATTTAGCTGACACTTTTTCGATAGCTAATGACTGTCGCAAAAAAAAAGTAAAAAATAATTTAAACCAAAACTTGCCAAGAATTTTAAGTTGCCGAAAATCGCAAAAGGTGCCCCAAATCTCAAAAGCTGCCGTAAAGTTGCCGAGCAACTTGTGGCTGAGCCTATTGCTTGCTGAGCCTATTGCTTTATTCCTTGTGTTATACACCTGCTTCTACCCTTCCTCCCTCCCTTTATAGAGCCAATCTATTGCTTGTGCCTTCCATTTGAAAAGCTGGATTAGCTAATAAGTAGTTCCTGTATAAGATCTCTACTAGACATAGTTAAGACTAAATTAAAAATCTAACAATCTATCACCCAAAGGACAAAAACGTTTTTTGGGGAACTCTCAGGTTCATTGGCACTTTGTTTGAACTGAGTCATCGAGCTTGTAGTATTAATACAAAGAAATTCCTCGAAATGAAGCACTGGCCTACCTTATCAGTGAACTGGTCACCTATTTAGACGCCGTCTGTTTTTTGTTGTTAGTGGAGGAGACCGCTATCAACTACGGTTGCAGAAACGAGAAGACAAAAACTTGGGGAGAAATCTAAAAGAAAGTTTGATAAAGCCGTTAATCCTTTTTAAAGAAATTAAACTGGTCGCTTGTGTTATTAAACTGTTCACAAAAGCTCAAATTTAGCTAACAAAATTAAAAGCAAGCCGGTTTGGGTGTCTTCCGTGTTCACTCTAGAATATTAAGAATTTATATTTTCTCTTTACCTAAACAATGCGATGCCAAATCGTATGTAACTTTACGTAACATATCCTACTGGAATTATATTTACCTCCTTTCAAAAGGACGCTGGAAGTTTAAAAAAAAAACAGCAAAACGAAGACTGGCCGGCGATATAAACGAGTGCAGCCAGACAAGGTCTAATGTATCCTGACTTGTTTGAGTTTCTTTGTCGGTCACAAAGCACTTGCAACTGTTTAATATACTGCCTAAAAAAGATAAATATCGAAGTTTTACTTTTTGGTACGTATTATTTTATGTGTAAAGGTGCTTTTTACTAGTTAAGGTTAGTAAGGGTGTATGTTAACCAGTGTTTTTGGGTGGAAAAGAAATTCCTTGTTACTTTTGCGATTTTTGCTAAGTTTGAGGCCCTCTCGAGGCCCTTCTTCGCCTGCCTAGAATTTGGTTAAACTTGTCATTCTTGCTATTTTTAAGGTATTTGTTACTCGGTGTTTTTAGGTAGCAAGAAAAATCCTTGTTACTTTTGCGCCTTTAATTTTGCGGGATTTTCGGGGCCGTTTTTGGCTTTTTCTCTTTCTAAGTCTAGAATTTTTTTAAATTGTTTTTTCTTGCAACTCTTGTGATATTTGCATGTGATTGTCTCACAAAGTTTTCTGGTGAATAATTTCTTTTGCGAAAATTGCGAAAAGACTTTGCTAACCAATTTTTGTTCACAAGATCGTTGATGGACATATCTCAACTCGTATGAAACTTCACTATTGGTGATGTAAAAACTCAGTAATATCTTACTACGCGGCCATTTCACACTAAGGCCCTCTTCCCCCAACCTTCACTGTTTTTATAAATGCTTTCCTGGTGAATAACGGCAGTCCCTCCATTAGTCTGCGAGTAAGCTCTCCGGGGCGCTCTGGCGGCGGGGCGGGAAAAGGAAGTAGAGCTTACAACTACGTCTTTGGAATTTGAATTCCGCCTCCAATTTCCCTGTGGCTCCCCGTCGACTGAGCTGTCAGATTTCCGCCAATCAGCGTGAAGTGGAGACCAACGCGAATGTAAACAAACTGACGCGAATATTCGAAAGAGGCAGTTGATGAGGGGTACCTTTCCTGTATGGTTTTCCTGTTTCCGCAATGGCTATCCGGCAAAGTATTAACACAGCCTCATTTATCTTCCTTCTTCGCATTCCACCAAAACAGAGTTCCCAATTAAACACACTTTAAGCATTTCTTCATCACGTCTAATCTTTATTTGCTCCGTACAGCTTCCTTAACATATAGCCTAATTTAGCCTTAAATTTGTTTCTATGTATGTTTTTACCCAAGTGCATTAAGAGTGTCTTCCATTTGTTTAATTTCTAGCTACTTACAGTTTGACTAATTAAATTTTGCGATATATATCTCCATTAGTAACGATTTAACGGGATAACAACATTTTCTCTTTGATGACGTCTGAACAATGAGAGCAGAGCTTTTTTAAATTCAGGCATCCTGATTGTGTATAAAATGGGATTTACAAGGGAGTTTGCATAATACAAAAAAATCAATGAATAAAACAAATGAAAATCTTCTTGCAAAGAAAGGGATTTCAAAATATCACTTGACCAGTCAACTAAAAGATATATATTGTATGGTAGCCACAACAGTAAAGATACTAAAGTTGTTATAAACAATGTGACAGTTAGTTTTCTTTGTCTTAAAGCAGCTGCACAATGGCGCAGAGGATGAGCTCCAAAACGAAACTTAAACAGAATGGACGTGTAAGAAACAAATGTAACTATTAAACACAAAAGACAGTAGGATTCTATTATGTAAAGGTGATATCCAATCAATTGAAGCACCTCTACCCCCCAAATGACTGAAACAATTAGAGGAAAAACCCAGACAACAACAATTGCCACCACGTAGACCAATCTCTTGATCAGCCGATGCCTAAATGGACGAAACGTGGCGTGAAATCGCTCTAAAGAAATAACAGCAATGTTTGTCAGGGAGACAAGAGGAAAGAAAAAATCAAAACTCGATAATGAAACTCCAACCTCCCAAGAAAAATTCAATTTTATAAAGCGACATTCCCGTAGGAGAACAAATTGAACATAACCCCCGAATAGGACTCCAACCAACATATCCGCCACGGTTAAGCTTATAACCAAGTACACGCTGCGAGTGCGAAGGCTTCTGTTCTTTATAAAAAGAAGGATGGCAAGGACATTCACCGTTACTATAGCAACAAACTCGTCGGTGAATACGGTAACCCAGATGATACACTCGGATGATGAAACAACCATGTTGAGTTATTTTCGTCGTTGGTGTTACTCGTAACCGTGAACCTGTAAGAACAATATATGAGCTTTGATCAGTGTAAAGAAAGATCATAATTATTAGACAATTATTAATTTAACTATCTATCCGTTTCTGATTGGCTATTATACCACGCATAATTCATCGCTTAAATTGGAAGAAGTTTGCGATATTTGAATAAACCAGTTGAATTTAGCTGACACTTTTTCGATAGCTAATGACTGTCGCAAAAAAAAAGTAAAAAATAATTTAAACCAAAACTTGCCAAGAATTTTAAGTTGCCGAAAATCGCAAAAGGTGCCCCAAATCTCAAAAGCTGCCGTAAAGTTGCCGAGCAACTTGTGGCTGAGCCTATTGCTTGCTGAGCCTATTGCTTTATTCCTTGTGTTATACACCTGCTTCTACCCTTCCTCCCTCCCTTTATAGAGCCAATCTATTGCTTGTGCCTTCCATTTGAAAAGCTGGATTAGCTAATAAGTAGTTCCTGTATAAGATCTCTACTAGACATAGTTAAGACTAAATTAAAAATCTAACAATCTATCACCCAAAGGACAAAAACGTTTTTTGGGGAACTCTCAGGTTCATTGGCACTTTGTTTGAACTGAGTCATCGAGCTTGTAGTATTAATACAAAGAAATTCCTCGAAATGAAGCACTGGCCTACCTTATCAGTGAACTGGTCACCTATTTAGACGCCGTCTGTTTTTTGTTGTTAGTGGAGGAGACCGCTATCAACTACGGTTGCAGAAACGAGAAGACAAAAACTTGGGGAGAAATCTAAAAGAAAGTTTGATAAAGCCGTTAATCCTTTTTAAAGAAATTAAACTGGTCGCTTGTGTTATTAAACTGTTCACAAAAGCTCAAATTTAGCTAACAAAATTAAAAGCAAGCCGGTTTGGGTGTCTTCCGTGTTCACTCTAGAATATTAAGAATTTATATTTTCTCTTTACCTAAACAATGCGATGCCAAATCGTATGTAACTTTACGTAACATATCCTACTGGAATTATATTTACCTCCTTTCAAAAGGACGCTGGAAGTTTAAAAAAAAAACAGCAAAACGAAGACTGGCCGGCGATATAAACGAGTGCAGCCAGACAAGGTCTAATGTATCCTGACTTGTTTGAGTTTCTTTGTCGGTCACAAAGCACTTGCAACTGTTTAATATACTGCCTAAAAAAGATAAATATCGAAGTTTTACTTTTTGGTACGTATTATTTTATGTGTAAAGGTGCTTTTTACTAGTTAAGGTTAGTAAGGGTGTATGTTAACCAGTGTTTTTGGGTGGAAAAGAAATTCCTTGTTACTTTTGCGATTTTTGCTAAGTTTGAGGCCCTCTCGAGGCCCTTCTTCGCCTGCCTAGAATTTGGTTAAACTTGTCATTCTTGCTATTTTTAAGGTATTTGTTACTCGGTGTTTTTAGGTAGCAAGAAAAATCCTTGTTACTTTTGCGCCTTTAATTTTGCGGGATTTTCAGGGCCGTTTTTGGCTTTTTCTCTTTCTAAGTCTAGAATTTTTTTAAATTGTTTTTTCTTTCAACTCTTGTGATATTTGCATGTGATTGTCTCACAAAATTTTCTGGTGAATAATTTCTTTTGCGAAAATTGCGAAAAGACTTTGCTAACCAATTTTTGTTCACAAGATCGTTGATGGACATATCTCAACTCGTATGAAACTTCACTTGTTTTATTGGAACTAAACTGTCTTACCTTCTTTAAAAAGGACGCGATCAGTTTTTAAAAACGGCAAAATGAAGACTGGTCGGCGTTATGAACGAGTGGAGCCAGACAGGGGCTAATGTATTCTGACTTGTTTGTGTTTCTTTGTCGATCACAAAGCACTTGACACCTAAAATGATTGGCATACAGCTGTACTTATTGGTAAATAAAAAATATACCGTACTTCATTAATATGCATATTATTATTATTATTGTTATTATTGTTGTCATTATTATTATTTTGTTTAGGTGTAAAGGTGCATGTTACTAGTAGAGGTTAGCAAGGGTCTATGTTAGTGACACGATGTCAGTTATGCTCAAATTTAACAACAAAATGGAAACCGTGCCGGTGTTATGAGCGAGTGGAACCAGACGCGGGCCAATTTAGTCTGACTTGTTTGTCTTAATTGAGCAACATTTGCGGCTCGCTCTAATTTACTGGCTAAAAATAATTGCTTATTGCACTTTCAAATGTTTATTAATATGCATTTTTAGTTATAATTTTTACTGTAATTATTTGTTGCGAAAGGAAGCGAAAAGGTGCATATCTACGAACAAAAACAAGCGATAATTGGTGATGTAAAAACTCTGTAATATCTTACTACGCGGCCATTCCACACTAAGGCTCCCTCCCCACAACCCTCACTGTTTTTATAAATGCTATGGTGGTGAATAACAGCAATCCCTCCATTAGCGCTCTGGCGGCGGGGCGGGAAAAGGAAGTAGAGCTTACAACTACGTCTTTGGAATTTGAATTCCGCCTCCAATTCCCCTGTGGCTCCCCTCCGACTGAGCTGTCAGATTTCCGCCAATCAGCGTGAAGCGAAGACGAGCGCGAATGTTAAGAAACTGACGCAGTTAACTACTAGAATAATCACTAGCTCAAATATTCGAAAGAGCCGGCAGTTCATTAGGATAGAGAAGGCCCAGTAGAAGCTTTGACAAAATTGTACTTCCTTAGAGGCCAGCTTGGGTGTTCGCTTCTTAGAACATTTTTTTTGTCTTATTTGTTGTGGGCTGGCTCTTATGGTTTCTAAACTGGTTTAATCATTAAAAAGCCTGAAAGAAAAATAAATGAATACAAATAGTTTCTTATACATATATGACTTCTTAATGTAGTGCCATTTACATGGCAGCCTAGAGCGACTGTCATGTTGGTTAAAAAAGTGTGGTATTTGAGGGGTATCTATTGTAGTTTCGCCGTAAGAGAAAACCTCAAGAATATTGCTACAATTAACTACTCATTCGAGACGAAAAATTGGATTTACTGCACTTTTGACATGTGCCAAAAGTTACGTCAAATATGGTATTGGCTTTGACTTTACCTTTGACGCGCAGCTAAAAACTAATATTGAGACAAATTTTCACTTCGAAATGGTTTTCGTTTTGCGATAGTCAGTACGCTTAATTTCTATTTTTTTGCGTGACGTGTGGTATTTCAGGGGTATCTATTGTTTCGCCGTAAGAAAAAACCTCAAGAATATTGCCACAGTTAAGTACTCAAAAAACGCGAAGAAACTAGTCAAAGGTTCTTCTCAAATTCCGAATATTGTCAATTAACATTTTGCTTTTGTCGGGGGTAATTTCGTACGTAAGATTCCTTCATCCCATATTTTCATTAGACTCTTGTGGTGTATTTATTGACCTTAAAAAAGCTTTTGACAACCGATGACCGTTATATTTTGCTAGATAAGCTCAACTTCTACGAATTCTGTGGATTATAACCAACCAATGGTTTTCTTAATATCTCAGTAACCGCATCCAAACTACTCCCATTATTGCTGATCACGTATCAAATAAACACGCCGCAAGCAGCTTGTGAGTTCCTCAAGGTTCCGTTTTATTTCTCCCTCTCTTTTTGCTATATGCTAATGATATCCACTAGTGCTCTACTAAACTAAAATTCTATCTGTTTTGCTGATGATACAAACATACGTTTTGCTGTGGTCAATTCTGAATTGTGCAAACTCTGCTAGTAGGGAACATCATATTGATACTGTCTTTAAAGTGGGTAAAATGGTTGGCTAAATTATGGCATAGATGTTCTGAATCTGATAGGAATTTGTCACAAAACTTACAAACAAAAGACGCAGGCGGTAATCGGTGCAGTTTGAAAGCGACAAACAAGGTGTCTTAGTGTATAAAGATGCAGAAAATTGTAGTTTGATTTAGAAAATGGTATATTTAAGGCCGCGAAGAACACCTCTCAAAGAAGAAATTCATAAGACAAAATTTGACTTGTGCTTTACGTCTACATCTTTTAAAACTTTTAGTCTTGACCGTTTAGAGGCGATACAGACAGAATTCCATACTAAGCCGCGCCCACGTGTGCGACCGTCTCATAACAAAATAAAAACGTTATCGCCCATATCTTGATTAAAATTACCCCCTGTAATAAGAATTATCGCAAGGTGTTAAGAGAAATGCAATTAAGATAGAGAACGTTCCAAAAACGGAACAACCATTGACAACATTAAGTGTCTTCAGAGATGCACGTCTTTGTGCTCGCGTTTGTTTGTTTTGTCGTTGTTGTTGTTGTTTTTTTTTCTTCTCCTTTTTGTTGGCGTTTTTTAATGGGCTCTTGAAGACAGCAATAAACAGAAAACTAACCACTATCTTTAAATTCTGTAAGCTCCAGTATTTATCATCTCTCGGTACCTTCCAGGCGTTATTTTATGACTTTTTTGTAATACTTGACATAACAGTTACAGGAGAGTCGATTGTTCAGATGTTCTCACATATAATTGATATTTCAATGGCTCTACTATGAGGCAATTAAATTTTTTAACATTTATAGACAATTAAAAAACTTTTTTTTTTTTAATTTAGCGAGTTGATTCAAAGGTTGAGGCGATTTTATTGATCACTCGATTGATTTGACTCGCTTTCTTTTTCAACTGGCGGGAACATGTTCTATTACTACAAGCGAAGTGGCCTTTTTCGGTTTGCCTTCAACACTTTTTTCAAACGTACATAGGCGCAAGTTCAGTTTATGGGCCTTTATTGACCTAATATTCAAATTAAAGGAATATGTATACTGATTCCCTACACCCAATTTGACATTTGTGTTAAACCATCACATGAATTATTATCGCCATGTTATCATCATTTATTATTGTTCTATCTTTGAAATTTCTGTTTAAAGCCAGACAAGCCGGGTGTCTCGTCTTGTCACTCATACTAGTTAACGAGTTTGGACGTCATGTCCAGAAATCTCTTTAGCTTTTCTTTTAACTAATTAAAATGCATCAAGACTGTTTGAAAACTTCAA